TTCAACCTGAGGAAATGTTTTGTAAATTAATTAAAGGTATTATCATTAGTTTCATGCAAAAAACATTCTGGAGTACTATGGAACAAAATAATATTTAAGGGAAGGCCTTCCTGGTTTCATAACAGAAGTCCATTGACAATCAACGTGTGACGTATCTGCACATCTGCACAGATATTTTCTTTTTATTAAGTGTCATCATTTTTTGACTGTCTAATTCAGTTGCCCCAAGTCAGTGACACACCATTTACCCCTGCGGCCAATGTGGCAACTCCAATTAACCTCAGCATGTTTTTGGACTGTGGGGGGAAACCAGAACACCCAAAGGAAACCCCACGAGGACACAGAGAGAACATGCAAACTCCACACACACAGCTATGGCAGAGACCCAAACCCTGATCTCAGAAGTGTGAGGGAACAGTGCTAACCACTGCATCACCATGCCGCAAATTAGCAACATTTTTACTGAATTTAGCAAGTATCCCAAGACCTTCTGTGAGCACTACATAAACACACACACACAGACACACATACACAGGACTATGACATAACTGGCTGCCAGTCTGTAGATTTTAGCTTTAAGCACAGTACCATTTTTCAGTGCTGCACATTGACGCTATCTGCCAGGAAATTTGTGTTCTAACTGAAGCATTTAAACTGCTTTCAATGGGATATCGTGCTAGACATCAATTCCACAATTATTCTACTGAGTTAACTGGCAGAATAAAATGAGACAAACTGTACATTATAAGTTGCGGGTTGTGATGGAGTTTATAACATATATAGCAAAAAGTCTGAAGAAGCTACGAAAGCGGATTAAGTGCAAAGGATTCTGGGGAGGGACGCTCAGCTACCCAAAAACCAGAGGAAAACACAAATTAAAAACTAATATCTTTGAACTTTGCATTATCAAAACAAGATTGAATATACTGTAAGAAGGAAGTATGGTCACCTAAAGAATCTAATAATTAATACAAAATATTTAATAATGATTATATTTTGAGTTCACGCTTTCCATCTGTCTCTTATTTAAAATAAAATGTTTCCACTGCATGGCCCATTCTGCTCTTTTCTGCCGGCATTAAAATCAAAGCCGACTGCCAATGCCCATCTTGATATGATTTACCCTGTCCCTGCCCTTGTTTGATTCTTCTTTCTTGCTAAATTTCATACTGAGGTGATTTCTAAATATAATGTTGAGGTACTGAAATAGACTCTAACTGTAAACTATATAGACCTATATAGGATCTATTCAGTATTATTGTGTCCTATTATGGATTGATAATGAACAAGCCTCCCGCAAATGAATAAGAATATAAATGTAAAACGTAGAATGTGTTAATGAAAAGCCGGTTTGTGCTTGGGAAGCAACGTTTTTCCCATGATGCACTGGGAAAAGTGCAGGACTCATGAAGTTGTCATTGGACAAGAAATTATATACTTATGCTACAGCCAATAGCTGATAAATGAGCCATGTGACATGAATAAGTTCCTCCATCACTATAACCAGAAATCTGCGTTCTACTGCCAAGATGCGCCTTAACAGATACAGGATTAACGAATCACGTTATATTTCGATTAAGTGGAGAATGTTTATGTCAATTATTATCAACTTTGCAGTGAGACTTATTCTTACCATTTTTCTGGAACCTGTTGTTTGCGTGAGAAAAGAAGCTTCAGGGAGTGTTTGGAACCCCTCTGAATTAGTTCTGTAATAAGACAGGAATGAGGTCATCCGAAAGCTGTCGAAAGCCAATAAATTTGTTTACAATGCCTAGCGGTTTTATACTTAACCAAAATACCGAGAAAATTAATCAAACATTCTATCATACCATAGATGCCAGGGACATTTGAGCCAAAGGAGGTGCGAATCTTCCAACAAGAAAGAAATATTTATTTATTCATTCACTCGTTCATTCATTCATTCATTTTTACTGATAGTAAAAGTCAACATGGACTCTGCAATTCATATATTTTTTATCCATTTCTGTTTATATACGACATAGACTATACTAAGCCGAAATAAGTGAACATTTCCGTAGCCTATATTATTCTTCCATTGACGTTTTTCGGCAATAAAACTGAGGGTCTGTTTACTGAAGATGATTCTTAATTTATAACTAACCTTTAAATGCTGTGGCGTCTAATCACATTTGCTTTGTCGTGAACACAACTAAATCAGTATAACTATAGGCTCTCGACTTATATAAGTAATTGTAGCAAAAATAAAAATAAAAATTTGAACTCCTAACAATTAGTAATATTTGAGCTGCAAAGATACGCCGACATATCGTTCCTATTTTCTGTTAACAGCCTTGCGCTGTAATTACTTTATAAAGATATACGGACAATAGATACGTTTTAAAACAAAAGCAGATAATTTAGGCTAATCATACCCTGTGACGTATACCGATAGTATAGGCTTATTATTAATTTGGTGAATCAGCTTGCACGGCAAACCGCTAATGATAAAGAAAATTAAAATATTAGAATGACAACTACTATAAATCATTATGAAATTTGCCTACTAGTGAAATGCATAGGAAAGTAAATTTGACTTCGAATTTGCGTTCTCTGTTGCGTCTGCCCTTAAAGAATAAAAAATGTTTTTAATTTATATTTGCGGTTCTTGCCATTACTTTTTCTAAGCTTTATGGGGCCCCTATGTGGACATGGGAGTAGACAATAAATTCCCGGATGATTAATCCAACGCGTTTCTAATTGCTTTTTATTTATTAATCTGCTCTTGAGAAGCGTTTGAGAGTCTTTATGTCTAAACGAGTTCTTTGCGCTGTTACAAGGAGTATGCTGTACAACACGTGAAGAAAAAAAAAGCTTAACTTGGCTTAATTTCCCAAAATAATTTGGTCATAGACACTGACTATATTTACAAATTCTTGTACATATGAAGTTATATAAAACTGAGAAAACAGTACAGGCTCCGCCACCAAGGATTGATGGATGGATGGATGGATGGGTATAGACAGCCTGCAGGACACACACGGAGGAGCACAAAGAGAAGACAAGGCGTACATGAGCCACTCAAATGTTTTAAAACCGCATAGAATATATACAGCATAAAGAGCACGAAACAAACCACTACAGGTAAATTGATACAAAATTGCACAATAAGCCACTACATCAGTTCGAAATTTGAATGTCAAGTAAGGCTCTTTATTTTCATTTGAAAGAAATTAATGACTCATTTGACGTAAATTTTGTTTCTAAATGTTTTTAAATGGGTTTCTCCGGAGAGGAAAACTTAACATGAACCACGAATGGAGCCAAATTAAATATTGGGAGGCTGACCTACAAGTTCCCGCCGCCCTCCCTTGGTTCCTATACCCCTCTGAAGAGGCCCGCGAGGCAGGTGATTTGTTGATTATTTCCCTTTACTACTAGTTGTCTGGGTAGATACTTTCTCATTCAATTATTTGCCAGGTCCCCCCAAGGCTTCATGTCTTATGAATGATTAGTTAGAATAAAATAAAAAAGAAATGAAAATAAAATAAAAAATATAAATCGCTTGCAAAAACGAGATGAAGTCATTTTACGCCTCGCACACAAATATATTGTAGACTGGCGCATAAAGGGTAATGGCGAGGTATTTTGATTAACGAAGTGTGTCTATGAAAAAAATGGGGACTTTCGTATTAGACAAATTATCACCTTCACATGAATAGACTTGAATGACCCAAACAATCTACGTGAAGTGTATAATCTCTTTTTGTGTACTCTAAGGCTCATTTGACCTAACTTAACTACTGCGAAGCGTAGCTGGAGACCTGCAAAACTAGTGTGACCGGTGCGGGGCAGGTGAAGCGAGGCAGTGCAGGGAACGGAAAGCCACCTACGCGTGTCCTATCATTGTCGTGCCACACGCGGGTTTTCCAGCCCGTATTCTGTAGGCCTATAGTTCGGTTATGTTTTAATAATAAAAATCCACGCATAACTTTCAAAAATTATACAGGCCAATTGAAAGAAACGTTTAGAAAAAACAAAATGTAAAATCAGTTCAAATGACAAAGTTCCGCGGGAAAAAAAAAAACGATTTTCTTTTCAAAAGATCTACTAAGCAGTTTTGCTCATTTAAGGCAATGTTTCTTTATAAAGAGGAAATATTGCCATGTGTCATGTTTCATTAACGTTAAAAATATAATAGGCTTATTCAGGTGCTTGGAGTTTTGAAATCGATAAATAATACCGGTAAATAATACATGTAATACAGGCCAACTATAGTATTAGGCCTGTAAAATATGATTGCCAATTATTTAATGATATTTTCGGCTTTAAAGTAACAAAACGTAAATGAAAACCTAAGCGAATACGATCAGTTTGTAAAGTACCTCCGTCATGCTAAAATGATACGGAAGGTTATTTATTGTAAACAACAGTCCAAACAACATGAATAAATAACTCGCTAAGAAAACAACTTTTAAAATGTGTAAATATTCTAAAAGCTAATTATAAATTCAAATAAAAAATGTTAGTGTTTGGTAGAATATATTATTTCAGACATACTTCCATAACTGTAAGAGGACAAACAATGGATTTGTGAAACAATGTACAGAAGACAAATAAATTAACTATATATTCAATCATCATTATCATTATTAACAACAAAACAACAACAACAATAATAATACATTCCGTTTTCTTCCGTTAAGAGCAGGACTTACATTTGTGTTACATTCTGCATAATTAATAGGACTAAGACAATTCCTTTAAAATGTAACTAATACAATGCAATAGTGCAGGAGTTGCAGCAGAATTATTCAAACATTTCTTAAGGTGGATAAACATCTATGCTGTGCAGCTGTCTTATTCAATTCTAATTAAATTAGCTTAGTCAATGATTGATTAAATTTGAATATGTTGCGAGCTCACTTCCAAGCAGCTGAGCCGCCTGCAACTGCTTAAGACTGACAGCCGGGGGCAGGGCCGCAGTACCCACGTATAAAGGCGGTGAGCTGTACGGCACAGACATAAAGTAACAACAGCCGTATGAACCGTCTGTAACCCGAAAATTACCGTTAAGTAAGACCCACCCGTGAAAATACGGACTTGGATTTTGTGATCTGGACCTTTGGATAGAGTGATGGAGGAACTTACAGCTTTTGTTTCCAAGTCCTTCGAGAAGAAAACCAAGGAGAGCAGGAAAGACAATATCTCATATCGGAAAGTTTTGGAGAGCGACTTGGCCAGTAGCAGAGACCTCGGGAGCACAGAACCAAATCTAAAAGGCATTACTGATTCCAGCAACCACTCTCCGATTTATCTATTCAAAGAAAACTTAGAACTCGATAAAGAACAAATTGAGGATATTCAGAGTAAAAGGGCTAACGAAGGTAAGTCAATTTCTCAGTTGCTATAAGAATAACTTAAATGTAACTTTTCAGACAGAACTTATTAATTTTCACAAATCAGCGTGTACCAAGACATTTCCACATATTGGAGCGTAATATTCCTATTGCTACACTGAGCAACATGACGCATTTTTATACGTAAACTGAAGTTTATCTAAAGATTTACAGAACGTTTGTATTTATTATTACAATGGAAATGCTAATGAAATTATGTCAGCAGTTTGTGACTTAGGAGGGAACGTAGCCTACATAGGCCCAAACTACTTTTTAAAATGAAAGTTGAAGCCGTACTTTGACGATCGGCGTCTTTACAAACCGGCAGGCAATATTATTTCAAAATTACAGTATATATAATTTTGTAAAAATGCAAAAACAGGAGTCGTGGACCTTGATGAGAAGATTGCATCAACCAAAATAAGTGTATTTATACTCTAGTAACATTACCTGACCTGACGTTTTGAACGTCAGTCCTAAATATTGGCAGCACCGCTGCTTATAACGATTTGTGTTTAACAATTTACTAATAATTAGCACGAGATATCAGTGAAGGAATGTTACTGAATACTGAATGTTACTTTAGTTACTGAATAAAGAGCCTTTATCTGCAAGGTTACTGCGGCAGGACTGTATTATTATGCTTGCATTTCTTGGTTATAGGTATATATTCTTTATTCCGTATACGGAGACGTCGCTTGTAAAGTAATTAGGATTGGAATAAAAATATCTGCTAAAATAAAAAGGTTAAAAGGTTAGGGATGACGAAACTGTACAAATCATGTAATTTTAGTGCATAAATAGAATTGTGTTTTATTGTTAGGCCTACGTTTTATATTTATGAAGAGCGACATGACAGATAGATAGATAGATAGATAGATAGATACAGTGTAAATAAGGATACGCACATTTAAACAGCAGAAATACTTTTACATATTAATACATAGTAACAATAACTATTAGAGAACAATAAACAGTATCAGTACAAAGAATGTCAGTTAAGTCATTGTATGGAATTCCGTATGTATTGCCTTGTATGTGGAAGTATGTGAACGTGCACTGACGAAATATTTAAAATAATTTAAATTATTTATTAAATACTTATCAGCTGACTTTCTTTCGGAAAGCCGCCAGATTTATAATAGGTTATGAGACAGACTGATGGCGATATTCCAATGTCATGACTAATAGCCTCCTTACAATATTTTTGTACGCCAGAAGCTCACGTAGCGTGTAGGGCCAGTATTTACCCTATATATACAGTAGGGGCACTTTATGCTTTACAGATCATAGGCCGCCGCGCGTCTGTCACTAGGTCATTTTTCTGTACGAACGTATAGGCCTGGTTGTGGGTATTGATTCTTAAATGTTATATGTTCGTACAGGAATATATGAATGTAGCGACAAAAGAGATGGACTGAAACCCGAGGACGAAGACACGCGAAACAAAATGAAACAGAGGCGGAGTAGGACGAATTTCACACTGGAGCAGCTGAATGAACTGGAGCGACTGTTTGATGAAACGCACTATCCAGATGCGTTCATGAGAGAGGAGCTGAGCCAAAGACTGGGACTTTCGGAGGCTAGGGTACAGGTACATGCCGATTCGAAAACGCGCAGAAAAGATCGGATACACAACGATATAGTATTAATCGATAATCGAATGAATCGAAGAAAATACAGAAGATATTAAATGGAACTTACACATACGACGCATTTCAAGATAAAGAAAGGAGGTTATATTACGTGCAATGTAGCCTATGTAAATACATGTAGAGTATAATCAAGGTCTTTATAGCAAAACGAAAACGGAATCTTCATAATCTTGGCGTAGACATAAAGTTAATCAATAGAAATATGCAGAGTATAATTAAACTTCGCTATAGCGCATGATGTTCGTTCGTTGCCTGTAAACAACAACACAAAAAACAAAGAAATAAATACAATAAATAGTTACGAATGTACTATAACTAAAAACGTGACGTTTAACCATAGATGATAAAATGCTGAATGAACTATAACAAATATGTATAATAGGTGATTTGGGTGATATATTCCTATTTGTGTACACCTGTTACCCGAAATTCACTTCGTAACTGTACTAAATATGCAAAATATCTGTTGAAAATTGGCATTCATCTATTACATGTTGCAGGGATTATGCCTTAAGGTTATTGGATATCAATCAATTGATTGTATTTTAGTTCATAATAAGAGATAAAATGATTTTTTTTTATCTAGCACAGAAACATTCTTCTACAGTCTTCTATACTATATCTACTATAATTTCTATACTATAAGCTTTTAAGGGTTCATAAACAAAATTAATAAATAAAATGAATTATATTTTAGTTAGTCTCCATGCTGTCAGTTACAAGCCAAAACAAATGCTGAATAATAAAAAGGTGACAATTTGAATACTCACATCTTTCTTATATAACAATTTACGAAATATTTCAAGCATAAATACTAATTAAATGTCATCGCTTTTACCATGGATGCGTCTAAATGATGCCGATTAACTGATACCAATGGAATACTGTAAAGTGACTGCAATGAGTTTAATCATCAGAGTAAAACACCTGTTAAAATAAAATTTGCGGATTAAATGTATTATAATTGTTCTCAAAAGTTTAAAATTCCAGTGAATCACAAACAGAAATCCCATCATTCGCTTTTTTTCTTTTGAGTTTTTGCGTATATATTTGTTAAGTAGCCTACGCTGTTTGCATGTCTCACCGTAGTACTGTACGACATAGCTTGCAGTATCTGAAAATTCTGAAATCTCCGAGTTGCAGTAATTAATTGAAATATGAACTGTATCTTTAAGGTTAGTATATTACCATTCGCTTACTCAGATACATTAAACAAATAATTGTCCTAAATGTACCCGTTTTAATGTAATGTAATATTTAATGTAAATAGATTCTAAGTATAAAAACATTTTATCCATGAATCCGCGTCTTAAATTTTTAATAAATACGTATACACAGAGGTATTCTTATTATTTTAACTTTATTTAATATAATTACTTTTAGTCAGACACCAAGACCCATCAAAGTTTCATTGACTTGGGACGCTTAGAACAAATTTTGAACGTTTATTTATCTGTATTTATTAATTTATATTCATTTATCAGTATTTATGAAAGATTCCCGAAATGGTATTATTAACTGTAAAAATGTCATATTGATTGTTTTTTGCTGTAATTTTTTGTGAGACAGTAAATTTCACATGACGAAGGCATGCAGGGGATTCTGTTAAATAATTTAATTTCGCTTCTTTTTAAGGTTTGGTTTCAAAACAGAAGGGCAAAATGTCGAAAACAAGAGAATCAAATGAACAAAGGTACCTGACAAAGACTTTCTGTATTTAAACACTGACCATGCTAGACTACGACAAATAAGACAAACTCTGAGCTATTGGATACTATCGGGAGGCATAGTGCATAGCTACACATGCAGCATAAAAGTCTGGTGTAATACACACTTGTATGTTTTCACACACGCCTGATGTTCTACAGGTTGTTCTATGTGGGGTATAATGTGGGTGTCACTGACAGCTTCTCTTGCTTTGCATAGGTATCATTTTGGGTAGCGACGGCCACCTGGAAGCCTGCAGAGTGGCTCCTTACGTGAACATGGGTGCCCTACGCATGACCTTCCAACAGGTTTTACTGCAGCTTTTGCAATTTCCAGGACGGAACTACATTAATTTGCCTTGAGATGTAACACGTGCATTTGGATGTCTACTTTCACACAAACACATATTTTAAGTTCTAGATCTTTATCAATTTAAAACTGAGAATCTACTGAATACCAAAAGGTCATGAATACTGTGAACTATAATCAAAATAAACTTGAAATACCAAAGTTCAAACAGAAATAGACAATTCTAAAGGAAAATGGACTAATAATGAATAAACTGTATTATCGATTCCAGTATTTACTGTTGCCTGTAAATTAGGTAACTAGAACTATATAAAAGGAAATCTTAAGACTGTATAAAGGCTTAATTAATATTTACTGATTGCATGTGTTTGATGACACTTAGGTACAGGCCCAACTGCAGCTGGAAGGAGTGTCTCACTCACACCCACAGCTGCACGCTCACCTTGCGACCCGAACTCCGTACCTGATATTTCCATCAGCGCATTTTGGACTCTCACTCGGACCGCTGGCAGACTCCGGCTCGGTGGCTGTGGAGGCGGCTGCCAAGAGCAACAGCAAGAACTCGAGCATCGCTGACCTCCGACTCAAGGCAAGAAAACACGCGGAGGCCCTCGGACTCTGACCCCATGGCCGCCCCTGCCACTCCCAACTCTGATAATCGCCTCTCACACAAGACGGAGCCTGTGAAAGGCCATTACAGTCGCAGTTAAAGCAAAACAAAATAAGGAAAACTGTCAAAGACCCAGCTGCCAAAACAGCCACTTGTCGGAAGGTGCAGTCAAATGTCAATGAAAGTCACTATCTTCTGTCTAATGGGGAGAACTTTTAAAGTGTGTTCTGTGGGTCTGATGTCCGGGCCTGTGCAGATTCCTCTGTATGCCAAAAAAAAAAACATTTAAAATGGGAAAATACAGGCAGCCCCCAGTATAAGAATGTCTGACGTATTTGCAAACGGAATGCCATAAGCCCTACTGTATTCAAAATCTGAGTTAAATACAATGGTTTGTAATAACAAACCCATGCATCCATGCATTACTTTGTGACTATCATGAAAACAGTATGTGGCTTCAGCAATTCATCTGCTTTATTATTATTATTATTATTATTATTATTATTATTATTATTATTACTTAAGGAGTGGATCTTGTTTGGAACCTGGGGATTGCCTGTATTGACAAGAGAGAACAAAATCGTTGAAACTTGAGAGAAACGATTGGTCCCTTAACTGTGCAAAATCGTTTTAATTGCAAACTGGCTTCTAAGTGCTGTGGGCTGCATCCAGCACATCTGACTGCAGTAAAGACTGTTTTGGGATTGATTTCAAATCCATCTTATGAGTGTCTGCTGGACTTGAATGGGCAGCATGGTTGTTTTCCTTTGTGGTGAAGCATCACGTCCTGGGGCTCGGAAGGCGGGATACTTTTTATACTTCTCTGTCAAGTTGTTTACAATCTATCCTACGAGCAGGATTTATTTCTAGACATGCGAGAAAACTTTTGATACCATTTGAGGTCATCAAAAAGCCAATGTTGAAATAAGTAAGATTTTTCTAAAGGAGAAAAAGTAATTATTATTTAATATATAAATCACATATTGGTAATGCTGCAATTAAATTGCGCAGTTAAGTGCAATATTGTAAAAGAAACATTAGCTTATTTTCTTTAATGAAAAATAGCTTTCGCCAATTAAAGTTTTTTTGAGATTTTTACCCCACTTTTGTACACAATACACAAGCATTTTCCTTATTTAGACAAAAGCACTTTTTGTTGCACTCAGCAACAGTTGAAAACAGGGATCTGAAACTAGTTACAAAGCTTCATGTCAACACTTTGTGTGGACTGGTGGACTGGTGTTGGACTGGTATCACATCCAGGCTGGGCCCTGAAGAACCTTCTCAGACCTAGCTGTAAATCACCAATGACTCAAACTAGTGAAATGATTACGGATGTGAAAAAATGTAATTGCAGAGTACAGACGCTCCTCTACTTGCAAACTTTCAACTTATGAACTTTCAGACATATGAACGAAGAGTCCAAATTGTGTTAATTGGGCTCCGGTTTTCTGTCCGCAACATCAGTTTTTTTTCTGCTCACCAATTCCTCCTAGTACAACTTCTGGCCGCTACTCCCGCCGCGCAGCAGCATAGCGTGCGTACTCCCAGCATCCTAGCTCTTTGACCTTGCGTATACCCTTAAATAATGTTGAATAACGACTTACGAACATTTCAAGTTATGAACGGCCGTTCGGAACGTATCTCACTCGCAAGTAGAGGAGTGTCTATATATTGAAATCACCAGTGTTGATATATTTTCAGTGAACTATTCTGATATACCTCTAACAATATATTACTAATAACTGTGAAACCAGTGAAGTTCAGTCTCCATTATTTTTTCATTTATACCTAAATTATTGGGTGTTGTTATTTATTACTGTTGTGCAAAATGCAATACTGGAGAGCTTAATTTCAAATGTACATTTCATATAGTTTTACATTTATTTTAACATATTCCTAAGTTTTGCTTTTATATTGTAGGTAGAATCCATATTTTATGATAATTGTATGTTGTTTGTATAAAATGTAATATCATTTTCCAAATGCTTCAGGCAGGGGCATCGTAGTGGGGGGAAAAAGGGGACTGAGTTACCAGGGCCCCATGTGGGGGGAGGGCCCCAAAGGAATTTGTAATTTTATTTTCCTTTAAATATATTAATATTATTCAAAGATCACAAAAATGTTGCTAACTAATGTGAATGTAATTTTTGTGGGAAAATAAATCGGTTGACGGATTGAATTGTGTCCTAGCTTACAGTGCCTGAGGACAAGCACCCTCACCCCCTGCAATGGTTTAGTCTTTACCGGGCTTTTTAACTATAGGCGCATTTAATTTAGCGGTCATTCTGCTGAATCAGCTGAATCCGTGCTGGAAGATGATGCCAAAGAAAGCTAAATCCGGTTTTCAAAAAAGAAAAGAGAGGCAGGAAAGAAGCAAAAATAAAACGAGGGAAAGCAACTACTTACAAACTTTTTTCCCCAAGAAAGTTGAGCCAAAATGTGAAAGCGAATAGCCTACATGAACTATGATTATTAAACACTTCAATACCACCGCGAAATTACACATATCTTAACATGATGTAGTCTAGATAAGTCTAAATATTTTTTTTTGTTTGCTTAACCCCCTGGGTTCCACGGCATCGTCGGCGATGCCGCGTATCTTTCTCGTCTATTTCAGTTTATATCTCGCTGAAGTGTTCGTGTAGAATCATGGAAAAAACGCTGGCTAAATCTGTAATCTGACTTCTTTCCAAAACGACCATTGTCGGAGGTATTTAAAGTTTTTAAAATTAGGTTAAATCGGCAAAAAGTGTTCAATTTTCATGCAGGCCTGTGATGTTAGGCTACCTTTGGTGACATTTCCTGTCATAGCTTTTAATCATTCTACAAATAAAACCAAATTCCAGTGAAGTCTTGTGTGATTAGGCTGTTTTTTTTTTTTTGAGGGGGGGGCATGAGCACTGTTTGTGCATAGGGCCCAGAATTTGGTGCTACGCCCCTGACTTCAGAGATGGAAAAACTAAAACAAAAAATGTAACCTAAAGGTAACCTGTTTCATTTTCTAAAAATCTTTTTTTGTCAGATTTTTCTAACTTTCTTCATACTTTTAACTTAAAACTATAAATGTAAAATTATGATCTGAAGCTAATGTTCTTTTATGAAATAAGAGAAAACTTCATCATGAATCACGTTTTATTCCATGTATACTAGGAGAGCAAACGAACAGCAATATAATGCTTTCAGTCTCTTATATACAACCATCTACTGGTTACCTTCCCTTACAACAGAGTTTGTGCACAAAACTTCACGCTGAATAAAGTTACCTGCCTGTAGGTCAAATAGCAACTTTATTAGTGAACTTCATTTAAAATGTCTGACTAAAACACCTAGAACAGTTGTTACTGTTATAAGTCTGTAGAATGACATTGTTGTTTTCCAAATAGCTCTTTTCTCTGTACTAGACGAAAGCGACAAAGGATCCGCCACGGCTGACATTCAAATGGCATGTTGACTTTGCGGATCTTTGATTATTGTTTCTCATCACCATCCCAGGGTTTTTGCCAGCGTTCACCATATGTTCCGGTGCACTTTACCGCCCTCTGATGGTCAAACCCAAAAAGGGCTCAATCAAAATTAA